GGAATGTGTATGGTTTTGTTTAATATATTGAATGTGAGGTCTTGTTGTGTTTTGATTTGTACTTGTTCCTCGATAAGTGATTTATGACTGTTAAATTTATGGATGTTCAAGTTTTCCCAAATGTCCATGCGGTTTCCCTTGTTGACTTGTTTTATGAGTTTTATGTTCTCTGGTGGGGGGAAATTATGTTTGTTTTGTATGGCGTGTGTTGCAAAGTTTGATTCATATATTATTGGGTTTATGTATGCCTTTTTGTGCTCGTCGTACCTTTGGATCAGTTTTTTCTTGGTTTGGCCGATATAGAATTTGTTGCAGTCCGAGCATTGTATGCTGTACATCCCGTTTGGGTTTTTGCCTTCTTCTTTTTCATAGCTGTTTATTTTTTGTGTTATTTTCGTGTTTGGCTTGTATGTGATGTTCAGGGGTTTGAAGATGTTTGTTAGTTTTTTGGTTTGGTGTCCTACGTACGTAAATGCTGTCCATCGTTGTGTTGTTTTGTCTGTTGGAGTGGTTTGATACTTGTTCTGTATTTTTTGTTTGACTCTGTTTTCTAATTTATCTATTGTCTTTTGGGTGTATCTGTTCTCGTTCGCTATTTGGTATATGATTTTCCATTCTTTGTACCGGGCTTCATTGCTAAGTGGTCTTTGTTCCGGGCTTCATTGGTGTAAAATGGTATCTTTTTCAGTCCTCTTTGAGAAGAAAGACAACAGTGTTGCCGAGGGGGCGTTACCAACTTTTTTTATAGGAAAGGTAGTTTTGTGATAAACTTGTTTGATAGGTATTTCAATTCTCTGTCCAACATTTTCTCATTTTTGGAAATCGGATTGGTAGCTCCTACGTATTGAGCACTTTTATATTAGATTTGAGGATTTACGAACAAAAGATAAGTATTATAATTTAAAAAAATGTATTCTTGACTCATTTCAGTTCCTTCCATTTACTATCTGACAATAATTAGGCTTACGAATTCATTATGGAATGTTTCTGAGGTAATTTCGTTAGGAGGACTGCTTATTCTAACCATGAGCATTAGGGTAGACCACGGATGTGTGACGTAAATTTAATATTTCACTTATCCTCACAAAAATCTAAGGTCGTTATACTAGGTAATGCAGCGGGTCTTTCTGAGGAACCACGTTTATCTATCCACTAGTTTGGCTAATCGTCATCTTCAAACCAGCTTGTCATAATGAAGAGGTACCTTATCTTGCTGAAACCTAATATTAGTTGAAAACTGGTTTGACAATTTTCTAAACCGGTAGACAAACAAATGTTATCCCTTGAAACAGCCCATTAGATCAACTGATATGACGCCTCTTTACTGCAGTTTCGTCTTATATTGACATTTTAGAACTAATGCAATAAAACTTGAAAATGTCCATATAGGAGGAAACTGAAGTAACGATAGTTACAAATAAAAGTAGTAAAAAACAGAAAGTTTCAGTTCTCATTTTTCAAGATGATCTCCTAGCATGTAGTAACGGCTACATCAATCAATTTAATGATATTTATAGTTTGCAGATTCTCAAAACGAATATAAAACTGACAATTACTTGGGAACAGCTAATTCGATTTCCAACAATAAAAAAATATTGGATAAAGTGAAATGCCTATCAAACAAGGTATCACAAGATTCCCCTTTCTATTTAAAAAAAAAAGTTGGTAGCGCCCTTTCGGCGATGAGTGATGCATCATTAGTTTTTCTTATCAAAAAGTACTGAAAATGATAAAGGGGAAGACTGTTTACGTTCGCTCTGTACATTAAATACTACATGACAAATTGCATTTTATGTTTCAGTTTTCCTTGCTGGAGTTTTTTCCCAACCCCAAACCGTTATTTCAACACCTCGACACGTGTTTCAATCACCAAGTGATCATATTCAAGAGGGAGATTAAGCTGAGTTTAATCTTCCTTAAACTGAGTTTAATCTTTATCTTGAAGATGATCACTGTTACTGTCATAACAGTGTTTCATGTAAGTGCAATTTGTTAACCATTCATTTAATTTATAACTCCTGTGAATTATATCTGATTTTATTCCATAACGAATGTTTGGAATACAAACTGAGTAGAGAAAAGTATTTTCTGTATAATTCAGTGTTCATATAAAAGTATTTGTTATGTGTGTGAGTGTGTGTGGTTTAATTATAGTGCTTGGGACAATCAGTCCAATATAACATCATTAGTGAAGTGATTGAGTGGATAATGTATTAGTTGAGTCTATAGTGTGTTACTGAGGTATATGAAAAATTGCCTCTTAAAAGAACCCGTAGATATAAGAATAACCTTGAATTTGAAACAATTCATTCACTAACTGCTGTCAAAAAAACTGTTACTCACCCTCATATTATTTCAAATTTGAAAAAAATAAGAAAATGATTATTTCAAAATTGTCCAAACACAAATTAAACCAATCCAATACAAGCACTACCCACAAATATCATAACTGTAACACTCTTCTCAACACGAATTTTAATAACCAGTTGGTGTCATCAGGAGATGATCTTGACTAGAGTCTAGTTGCTGGTTGATTGATGACACAAGCGTCGGAAATAGTGTTGCAGTTCTGGTATTTGGAAGCAGTACTTGTTTTGGATTTATTCCACGCCAGAGATTCCACTTCTACCTTTCAGCCACAAATAAACCAAACTGAAGAATAGACATTTGAGAAAGCCTAGACAATTAATACTAGATATCTTAGAACAGAATAAAATAATTTTCAATTGAATATACCAGTTGAAAATCTGTATTTTCTCCACTAGGTTTCATAAAATTTATAACTATGCTCACCTTGAATCCAAAGTCTATTCTTGGTGATTTTTGGCTGGATAAAATATCAGTTGTTTCTGGATTTCTATTAGCAGATATTATGGAGGGATTTTCTGCATTAGAGTTACTAGCATTTTTTGAATCGAATTGTATGCTCTCTACCTTTCTTTTCCTTGACGAAGAGGTTAACTGTGATTGGATTTTTTCACAGACTTCTGTATTCCCTTTGTTCAAATTAAGATGCGGCTTAACATCATTTTTCATACGTAATTTAGCATTCATAATTTTAAATTTCATCCAATTTTCACTATCTTCTTCAATCTGAAAAAATGACAAATGATGATAACAATATCAGTGCGAGGCAGCATTAAGAGAAAACCTGTTTATGGTGACCTGGTAAAAAAATAGAAAGGAATTCATTTTTTAGATATATGTGGCAGACAACTGATGGAGAAACAACAGGAAGTTACTTGACATGAATCAAAGTGTCTAATATCTACTTATCTATTTCAGCATTCAGCGTGGCATTAGCCGGATTTGTTGTTGTTTCTTTGTCAGTTATCAGCCACAAACATTGTATATAAAGACATTAACAACTCTGTTAAAGAACTCGCGAACCGATGAGACCAATAGCCAGAAACACGTGTCCACGGTTTGCCGGTGTTATGTTCGCGACTTCGCTTTTTCATTTAGATCAAACACACTTATTAACATTTATGGCGGGTTGGCTGTCCTTGTTCATCTTTCACTGCCTGAACCACTGTACATGCTGTTTTCGGCGAGTGCATTGGCTTGGGATGTGGGGGTTGAGCAAACCGGCCATCGGATGCCTGCTTCCACGTAGCCCCGCTGGATACGGGAATGACAGAATANCTCCCTGTAAATTTAGTTCAGGAGCGAGAGCTGCGGCGTACGCAGAATCTGTCTCAGGTGGGGGAACTAACCCCCCATTAAATAAATGAAATAGTTCAATCCTGTAAACCATTAAATATGAATATTAAGAAGTGAACAGTGAACTTGATGCATACTTAAATAAACAATAAACAGTTGGCAAAAAAAATTGTATTGCAATTTGTGTCTCAATTATGCTTTTGTTAATTAGTATTATTTTTTCCGAGTTGAAGGTTGAAAATATCAATATTCCATTTATTTATGAATATTTAAAGATGTCAAATAATTAAAAGCATAAATGAAGCATTGAAAACAAATTTTTGGAATACTCTAATTGATTTATCTTCTCATTGATAAAAGCTATAGTTATATGAGTGTTTCAGTTTTTCATTCTTATCGTTGGAAAAATTGTAATAAAAAATTGCATTGTATATGAAATGATTGATTTTTTTAACCAGATTAGCACAACTTGGACCAACTCGTAAATTACTATATGTCAAATTACAAATAGAATGAAACCTCAATCATAATTTTTGATGAAGGTGAACTGAAATTATATGAAATGGCACTTGTGAATTAGACTACAATTTCAGAAAGTATCCAAACACTAAATCTTCAATGTTCAATGTCCCAACACAACTTTATCTACCAAATAATATCTGGTATTTAATTTTGCCACATATTATTCACAAGTCTGAAAAAAAGGCATATAACATAAAAAATAAAACCCTTTCAATTTAAACAAGATTCCTTTGGCTGGGATTCAATCAAATAAGTTAATGAATGTCATTACCCACTATCATCGATGATATGAGTAGATTGAACTCAATCCTTTACATCAAGTTATAATGTTATAAATGAAATGAATGTTTTTTACTTATAATGTTATCCAGATTTGGTACTGAATAGCTTATAGGACCAGCATCTTAAGGCGAAACATCGGATGTCTACCAGTGAGGATGACACTGTTTCCTATAAGTGAAATTTTACCTCTTTCATTTTAGTATATTGTGTAGGAATCCTGTGAACGATATCTGATTCGATTCCATAATGAATGTTTGTAATACAAACTGAGTAGAGAAAAGTGTTTTCTGTATAAGTCACTGTTCTATTCAATAACTTGAATTGAATAGAATAGACAAACTATTGTCATCCTCACAGGACAGTTTCACTAAATCCAAGAGTACAGAGTCAGCCCTATGTGAATTTCAGTCGAGAATTGTTAATGCTCTTGACAGGAAAAAATGTGTCACGGGCCTTTTTATAGATTTCTCACGTGCTTTTGATTGTGTGGACCATGAACTGTTACTATCTAAGCTTTATATATCAGGTGTAAGAGGGGTACCACATGATTTGGTGAGATCTTATCTTATAGGTAGGAGGCAAAAAGTGAGAATTGGTCAATGTACATGCGATGATTGTGATATAAAGCAGGGAGTTCCCCAGGGTTCAAATTTAGGCCCCTTTTTTTTCTTGTTATTTGCTAATGATCTAATTACGTTCATCAGTAAAAAAAACTCGGTATTCGTTATAAGTTATGCTGACGATACAAATATTTTGATAGTTGAAGACAACATGGAGGCACTCCATAAAACTGCTGAGGATATATATGATAAAATCATATTGTGGGCTGTAAAGAACAATTTGAAACTCAACAAATCTAAAACTAACACCATATTGTTCAGCAGACGTGGTCAAAGTGATTCGAATGTGATACTATATGAAAATAATGAAAAATCAATTAGTCCTGTAGAAACTGTGAATATGCTAGGAGTTGTTCTAGATAAAAAATTAATATGGAATCAACATATTGATACCTTATGTAATAAACTAAAGAAAAGCTGCTATTCTATTAGATTCATGTCGAATCATTGCAGCTCTAGTATACTCTTAACATTGTACCATGCTAACTTCCATTTACACCTTCGATATGGCATTCTCAACTGGGGTATGAGTGCTTCAGTTAAAAGGATATTTCTCCTCCAGAAATATGCAGTTAGAATAATAGCTAAGCTAGGGTGTATCGTGATTTATATAGAGATGCTTTTAAACAGCTAAAAATTCTTACAGTTGCCAGCACCTACATACTAGAGGCTAGAGCATATGTTTTCAAAAATAAATCTAATTTTCAGTCCTCTCTTCCAAATCATAACCACAATACTCGTTCGAAAGATCTAATCATACCAAATGCTCATAGAACTTCTTTGTATGGAAAAAGCGTAGAGTACAGTGGGTGTAAATTATACAATATGCTTCCATTAGCTCTTAAGAATTCCCCAAATATTAATGTGTTCAAAAGTCAGCTGAAAAAAATGCTACTTCAAAGGACTTGTTACACCATTCAAGAATTCACCAATCAATTAACCTGAGATCTTGAGCTTTAGCACATTTGGTGAAAGTGTTGACTTTCAATACTTGAGAAATTGTGTGTTGATTATATTTTATTGGCCTTTTTATAGTCTATAACTAGTTACATTTACATTTTTATATTTGTTACTTTTATTACTTATGGATGTTTATCACTGTTTCTGTTATTGTATTGTTTATATTATTTATATATTTATATTATTTTGACTGACTTATAATATGGTTACATATTTGGACTGACATTTATAAAATGGTTATATGTAGTTATTTACATTTATTTATTTATTTATCGGTCCAGTACACTACAGAATTATTATAACATCCCAAATGGTACATCAAGAAAGTTTCAATTGTTGAAACCAGTCAAGCATTAGAGTTCAGTTATGATCCCAACAAGTAAAATCCTTAATATAAATTATTGTAATTGCTTAAAAATAAATAAACCTATTTATTTATTTTTAAGCAATTACAATAGTTTATATTAAGGATTTTACTTTTTTTACATGTTTTACATGTTTTTACATTTACTTTTATAATTGACATTTTCTTTGTTTATTCTGCATTGATTTCTGTCAACTGTACTTTTCAACCAAAGAAATAAATATTATTATTATTATTCAGTCGAGCTAATTGATTGATTGATAGCACTTTTAAATTTTCGCATGATTTTTCTGTAATATTCATGTACAATATACCGTTCGGGATCTAAAAACGAAAACGCACTGATTTTTAATCGAAAACACATTATTTAATTTTTACACTTCAGAAACCGGAGTAAAGTTTCAGGTATCCAGAAACTGACACTATTTTCACTACATGACGGAAGTTCTGCACAGGACTGACTTTTGACTTCGCCCATAGGAGTTTTTATATCATTTTAGCAACAGGTGAAATTCAGTTACATCTGCCTGCCAGCAAGAACAAACAAGAGCTGATACACGAGGCCTTTTTGAATACCTAATTTATGACCCCTTAAATATTACTTCAAAGATTACCGACTGACTTTAATATTCTTTCTTAATTATTTCAATTCCCGATTATTGTTTCATTATATTTTACCGACCTGCCTATAACACATATGTTCTGTTCGATGAACTAAGATCCCTTCGGTCTTCGCAAGGTCCTGTGTTGTTTACATTTTAAACTGACCCACTTTCAGATCATTCTCCAGCACATATGTCTTCTAGAAGATTGTTTTCAATACTTTATCTAATTTTCGTTTGTCACACGCTGATAAATGAGAGTATATTGAAATGAACACTCGAAAGATAGGTGCCCTAAATGTTTTGATTATGAAAGAAGTTATCTTAGACTAGACTGTTGAATGCATAAGAGATGTGAAGAAAGGGAAATAGGAGGTTTTTCGTATCTATAGTAAGCAGCTCTATGAAAGCCAAACCTCAGGCAGGCCGGTTTCGGGCTGTTTGACCACTCGTCAGTGTATCGTTAACAGCATATGCAGAAATGACTTTAGTGAAGAATCCTGCACTGACACCTATCAGATATAATCCAGATATAATCCAACGCCCTTCGTGATATTTGCCAGGGGAGTAGTTGTTTTCTGATAGGTATCAGTCCACTAACCTACAGTGTAGATAAGTTGAGACTGGCCTGAACATTGAATATTGTAATATTTTTGTTATAGTACTTAGAACTTACATTGAAGTGATTATCGCAGCAATATAGACGGGAAGTCTTTGAAAAAGAAATGTTGGTTCCCACTGCAGAACACCAGTTCCTTCTTATTTTATCCTGTTTTGGCAAGCGTATAAATTGTTTGTTGGAATTTATACTGGTATTGGGACATGATGGAACAAAACATCTCTTCACTTCCAATGATGGTGGGCTTTGCTAAAAATGTCAAATGAATAATAATTTGTGAGACAAACTACAATGTAATCAATAATGAAAAATGACAGTATTTAAAACTTGAAATTGAAACTCATTTTGTCATGGGAACCAGACAATCAATCAATTCTTACTAAAGTCATTTCAACACAATTTGGTTGAATAAAGTCCATAAGGGCATTTAGCAACTAAGAAATCAATTGTGAAAAGCATATACAAGATTCGTTCATTTCTTTCCATTTACCTTTTATCGCCTATCGTTACTAAAACTGATTCCCCTATGCGCTATGTCAAACCTCAAATAAGGAAAGCCAAATATTTTTACAAAAGTTGCTTTGAATATTGATAAGAACAATTTGATGTCACCAAAACTCGTTTATTGTGGATCAACCAAATGGTTTGTATAAAAACAAGTTTAGCCTCTTTTGTTGTACTGAGACTATATTTGTCACAAGTTTAGGGTTAGGATAAATCTTGCAAATAAACTTTGGAGCAATTAAGTAATGCTAAATCGATTGAGCTGAAATTTTGCACAAATGTTTGGTTTGGATAAGGGTTTATTAATAAATAAACGAAAAATGACATACATCACTCTAAAGCCAATATAGCGGAACGCCTAAGATGGCCTATTTTTTATGCACCCCCATGATATGGATATCAAATGGAAATATTCAAGGATAAGAAAAATCAGAATAGCGACAAATAAGATGGCTGTCCTACCAATTTCAAAGAGTTATAACATGAAAATGTTAGGGATGCATGAACCCTGAACAGGAAATATAGACCGAGTAACCGGACTGAGAAATATTGCTGGTGAGGTAATAGTGTGCTCTGAGGCGAAACCCAGAGCATGTCTAGTCATCAAGGCAAATATCAATTATTTTGTGATTACAGGCTTCTGCACTTAAGATGTAGGCATCCAAGTTTCCCTAGCGGAGAAGGGTGGGCCGAACATCATCGCCTGTTCAGCTTAGTTCACGGGAGACTCGGACACAGCACGTCCTCCCACTGTGCATCTATTCATCAAGGCATGAAGCTTTTGGCAGCGTACTTTGTTCCAAAATTGCTGAATTTTGACCAATAAAACCCTCGCATGAGCATCGGTCAGAAATTGTTGAATGACATCAAAGGTGATCCAGATTTGCTTATAAGGATTATAGCTGGTATAAATCATGGGTATATGGTTATGACATCGAAACCAAAGTCAAATTGTCCCGATGGAAGAGCTCAGCAGAGCCAAGATCAAAAAAAGCATGCCAAGTTCGATTTAATGTCAAGGTTTTGATCACTCTTTTCTTCGAGTACCATGGGGTAGTGCATCAGGAATTTTTGCCACATAGTGGTACTATCAATAAGTTACAGGCCACTTGCGAGAAGAAATTCGAATAGAACGTCCGGTATTGCGGAAAAAACAACTCATGGCTTTTGCATCACGATATTATACCTGCTCACTCACTATTGCTTGTTTGTAATTTTTTGACCAAAAACACAACAGAACTGCTGTGAGGATTGGAAAAGATGTTGGCACAAGTGTAGGGGAAATACTTTGGCCGAGACGAAATAGAAATTGATGAATATTTATTGAACAAAAAATTAAAATTCACTGTATTCTTTGAACAGACCACTTATAATTAAACTCAAAAATAATTTTCCTTTTTTCAGAAGGGGCAGCATTTTTCATTCTTATACTTGAGCAAATAAGGCTGTTTGAAGGCTTCCACTAACTTGAAATAAAGTAAAAATATTTTTGTGAATCAGTCTTCATACGTATGATGCACTGTTTGGAACCTTTGGTGTAGTAATTACTATTACTGGAGTTTTTTCTAATTACACATTTAGTACAGTTTTGGATTGTCTCTGTGCCTGTCTTGAGATAGTGATAGGAATTTCCCCAATAATCACTTGAACCAAAATTATACTTTTTTATCACTCACGTTTTTTTTCTCCACTTCTGTAATCGGTATATCCATAGTCTCAGAAGACTTGTCTCCACTGGAATCATCCTCCCAGTCAGAAATGATTTTCTGTACATTTTGATGTACTACTAGCTGTTTATTATTGTGATATTCCAATACACTGTGCAAGTCAATAGGACCCGAAATATTCTTATTATACTTTATGTATAATGCTATCAGTTGGACAGTTTGTATGCATCGTCTTCTAAATGCATGAATCATCCGCACACTTTCTTTACAATCATAACAAATTTCTGGACTTTCAGATAATTTCAAGAACTGAAATTATAACTCAATATTAATACATGTACCAAATAATATATCATTTCTCCAGAGACTCACCAACTCAGGGACAACAATTTTTAATATTTCATGAATTTTGATCTCCTCTTCATCTTTCGGATTGCATACCTCATGAACTTTAAAGGAAGGTCCATGAATGATTTGAAGACAAGCCCTACAAATAACCTTCTCTCTGTAATTAGATTGTGTTGAAGAATGCATTATTATTATTGTTTTGATGTGGACCAGAATTATCCATGGAGGTTATTGAACTCGGTGGTTGATGGTTGACGTTGATAGTAATGACAGATGACATAAAATATGAAAATACTAACAAACCTACACCGACTACAACAGACAAAAGACAAAGCAAAAAATAACAAAGAGAGCAAAAGAAGAAGAAAGTGACACAATAAGGAAGCAGTCTGCATAAAGCAGGACAACTGCAACCCCGGACAAAGCTACTGTTACAAAAGTGACGTGTAACACAAAACAGTGGCTGTTTTGTGACGTGTAACAGAAGGAGAACTGGCCAAATGCACCTTCTCGGAAGCAAGGGCCAACCAAACAGAGAGAGAGAAATGCACATTGTTGGCATCTGCCTGTGGGTGCATTTGCGCACGTAAATTCCCTAAAATAAATTTGAAAAGAGGGTTATTCCTAAATTTCAAATTATATGCCATCACGGTTCAATCACACCCCTGAATTTATTTAAGTAAAACTTTATTGTGAGATTCTCACTGAACAGTTTACAAAACACGTGTTTCGCTGTACAATAGCTTCCTCGGATGTGAATCATCCGTCCGTCTAAGTCCTCAATGACTAATAATTATACCAGAATTTGGGTAGGAACTGATCAAATGGACATGCGATAAACTAATTTGGTCCAACTGGCAGAACATTTAGAAATCGAATCCAGGAACATAATACGAGCTATGTAAATTAGAAAATAAATTCAACATATTCAAATCATCTTCTAGAAGAAAATCATATCTTTATCGAAGAGTTCGAAATTTTACCCATAGAAAATAAAGGTTTGAAACTGAATCATTTGGAAGCAATGGAAATTAATATACTTAAAAATTCAAACATTCTAATGAATGACCAACTAGATTTGAGTAGATCACCAATTATTGAACTTGTTTTCTTAAAATCCCAGAAAGAATTATTATTGATGTAGATGTGAGGTAATATGCTTTAGGTAATCATAATTCAACAGGTACCTCAGGTAATTTTTGGAGGTAGTCTCAATTATGGTTACCTGTTGTATATAAATATTAATGTAAGAACAATTTGAAGTACCTATATTCATACACTTGAGAAAGCTACTGTGCTAGCGAAACATGTTGTGATTATATTTTTCAAATAAAGTTTATGGAGATCAAATCGTGAGGTGTAGTTTTTGAAATTACTATGGATCTTCATCAAGTAACGGTCGAATCAATCAGAAAAATAAACTAATTACCAATTTGCTTATCAGAAACAGGATTACTATATAGGAAAAGTTGCGAAATGCCATCATTATTGTTTGTATGCGGGCACTGTATGTGATTTTTCGAATTCACAAAACACTCCCACCTGTGTGGCCGAATTCATTGTCCAATGATACTAGCATTACTGAATCCTTCAGAAAAATAAACAATATAAGTGATAAATGCAATCCCTGGTTAAAGTTTTCAATATTATTTATACAGAACGAGATTTATCAGTTATCGAAGATCGAAGTATCAGAAGGTACAGCAAGCGCTAAACGTGATGGCGAGCCCACCCCCCATGAGCACAAACTCATTTTCAATGTAAGCCCCACTACAGAGCTCGTGCAAGACATACACATACTCTGTAAAGAGGCGTATCATTACTTGTCCTCCAATGCTTTTGGCGTTTGGCAATGTCTGTGTTGTTTCTGAAAAAATGTCATCGCCTAAAAAAACGGTCATCAAGAGTCAGGCACGGGAAATAATTTTTAAAGTGGACAATCATTTTCAAAGTGTTAAATGTGAGTCGGATACGTTATCAAATGTGGAAAATAAAACATCTCTCGCTACAGGTAACATTAAATAAATTTAAAAATAAATAACTATTTCAACACAAATCTTTATTTTGTATTAAGAACCATTGAAAGAGTGGTTAACGAAGGGGAGCAATTAATTTCTGTAAATAACAGAGAAGTAAAAATTTTCCACCCCAAGAAAGAAGCGTCCTATAGAAGAGCACCAATAACTGATATTCCCGAGTATGAGTATTCCAATATTAGATGGATTATTTACGACTTTCATAAGACGGAAGGGTGTCGTATTACGGTAAAAAAGTTTCAACACAAAATTAATGACGTTTTGGGAATTGGAATTGTTTGAATGTTACATCGGGTGAAACATGATCTGAATAAATGTGATGTAAATTCGTCTCATCTTGTTTGAACATTATAATGAAATTGGTATTGTCACGCACTAACTGTTTGGGTACCCGTGAATATGTCTGTGCTTGATAAAAACAATCAACATCCTTATGACGTCCCATACAGAAATATGATCTAATAATATCTTGCTTTTCACATATCACATCATCGAAAATGAAAACAGAATTAGGCTTAGCGTCGGAGGGTTCCACTATTTCTGCATTATTGCTGAATGTATAAAAACCTAATCCTTTTATAGGTTCCAAAACACTTCGCAAGTACTGATATTTAGGTTGATTGAGTGATTTCGAATAGAGATACACATTTCTAAATCTCAATCCTTGTGGATGTGTTAATAGTGATATCATTGCATTCGTCTTTCCACAATTTGAAGGTCCTATAACGAGTCCTCGAACTGATGATAGAAGTAGTGGACCATGTCTGAATACTCTTTGTCCATTCAATCCACACCCAAATTTCTCAACTAGATTATCTACAGCAAACTTTTCTTTCTGTTTTACAATGCGCATCGTGCCGTGGTTGGAGACTATATAAATGTTATTAGCTTATTCATTTCAATGTGTACCATCAAACGATACGACATACACCACACCCTTCAAGGTCACATCACCTTGACTTCACCAAACAACAACCAATAAAAAAAGCAATTAATACGTCATAGTGGTGGAGGGAGGCTTAGAACCGGCTCAAATCTCCTACTACTCACCATTGATCCTTATCCTATTAAGTGCCTTAAATACATTGTGCATTCAATGTAGATCGGTATGACGTTGCACGTGCATTTCTACCGTACATCCCTAGGGTTACAGACAGAATCGGAAAAATCTTAGGGAAACATAAAATAAAAATAGTGTTCAAGTCCACCGGAAAAATACAACAAAGCCTTAGATCTGTGAAAGACAAAAGAGATCCACTATCTGCTGCTGCTGGGGTATATCATGTAGTATGCACCTGCGGAAAAGTTTATATCGGTACCACCAAAAGATCCATGAAATATAACTTTCGGATGTCAAAGTCCTTTTTTAAAAATTAATTTTATTAACAAAAATAGATGTTAACAGTGTGAGAGCAAAATTATAACTGAATCACAAAAGTATTCTTCCCATGAAAATAAGAATGCTTGCACATCAGTTTCCCAGAATCGCGAGATTCTGCTTCAGCATGGTCAGCGGTTCACATGGGAACGGGCGATATAATTCCTCCCCCCCGAAGATTCAACGTAGGATGGTCAGCGAGGAAGTTGACCCCAAAACATCTCGATATCTTGACTTGGTTCGGATGGTCCATTGGTTTTGCACCCTCTGAAGCCAATCTTCTTGTGCACTAGGTACAAACAGATTGATTCTAGGACCAAGTAGATAAACATCGTCCAAAAACTTGGGATATGTGCTACGTCTTTGAAGGATATAATCGGTTCGTTTTCCATTATTGCTATTTTTATTGAATGAAGTTCGTCCAGGTTCAGGTCATCAAGTTGGATCCCTATTGATTTGGGTGGCTCTGGCTTCCCTTCGTCCAAGTCTGGTAAGATGATTGGTTCACTATTGGTAACTTGGTGATCGTTGGTTATGATTTGGTTGCCACAGGATAACTTGCATCCAATTGGAATGTCGAAAAGATAACTTCCAGGTAGTAGGTTCTCGATTACGTTCTGGTTCTGGCACTTGAGTTTGGTAGTTTGTTGAGCCGGTAGGAGGACAACCCATTTGTTTGAGTTGTCTAGTTGTCTGATGGCTGGTCTCGATAAATGTATGACAGTCTCCTTACAAGTGGAGGTGTTCTGGACATTGAGTAGCTGGACTTCGCATAGATTGTCTTCTGTTAGCTCTCTGATGTTGGTGGATGGGCAGATATAGGTTCGATGGGAGATCTCCAAACAAGGATCGCTCAAGAATGCATACAATTTTTCGTTTTTTGACAAATATTTGTTTTGAGGTATAACAGACTTAAACTGACCCTTAGTTAATATCGGAATAGAAAATAGGTGATAGTAATCGAAATTTGATGGATGGATAATTGGAATATGCAAGCTATAGGTTATTCTGAAATTTGATATATAGCTTTTAAGGCTAATATTTTTTTCATAAAGCAAAGTATTCTCGAAACTTATTTCAATTGGTAGTTGGTCTTTCTCAACAATTTTATTCAATTTTTGCAGTTCTTTGAACAAATCTTTTGTTTTTATAATACTAGGATGAAGAATGTTCAGTATGGAAAATTGTATTGAGTTTTCAACATCTTGCAAAACTGAATTTATGATTTCAAATGTATTGATTATCTGATTCAAGATGTCTTTGACAAACATAGAGTTTTCTTTATAAGTTTGATTTTCAACAATTTTTGCTATTTGATTAATTTTTGATTCCAAAAGCCTTACGTTATTTTTCACTTGCTGAACTGTACTATTGAACTGATCAATTAATGAGATTGAGAGTGAGTTTTGCTTCTTGATATTCGTTACTAGATTATTTTGATTATCTTGTAATTCTTTGATCAGACGGTCATATTTTTCACCATCGTTGGAATCTAAATTTCCTGTGATCGACTTGAAAATGGAAACAATGCCGTTTATAAGACCGCTCTTTGTTCTGAGTGGATGTGGTAAAATATTGTTGAGTCTATCAGTCACCTCCTTTTCTGAAAATTATAATATTTTTAAATAGTTAGATGTGTCCCGTGAGTAGTCTTTGTGACCGCCTACAAGTGTCCTTACATTTTTTGAATGAAATTTCAGATTATTGGATTTAAATCATAATAATGCGTGCGTTTCGACTTTGGCTGTTCCAAGTTTGAGAGGAATAAAAGTCCTGGATTGTTCTTTAGGATTTGTTTAGATATATTTTCCTGAAGTCCGAGAGTTCCAGATAATCTGAAAAATTAATC